CACACACACAGAGCTAGAGGCTGGATCATAGTAGCTCCTTGCTGTAGCTATAACTCAACACTCCATTTTATTTTTCAAAATTCAGTGAAATGGAGACAGTCCAAGGCTGGTTTTCTTTTGCTACCATAGATGTCCACATAATTGCTGGATTGTCTAAGTAGGGAAAATGGCAATGTCCTTACCTCAAGGCAGACAAGGACATGACAGCCAAATCCAGAGAGATGGAATAGACAAAGCAAATCAGAGATTTATAGAGTTGAGTCTAGGAGAACCAGAAATAGAATTGTATTAGGGAAGATCCTTGGTTATATTTGAATTTTTGCAGAGTCCACTTAACTTACTACCTTCTTGATATCTTGTGGCTTTCACTAAACCTTGTGCTCAAAGGGACAGTCTTCGTTTTACTAACCAAACCCAGATTCTTCCTATATTTGCACTCAGACTCCAGTAATGATGTGGGCATGCTTTGATTACCTTCAAACATCAAAGATTGGTTAGAATAAATATTTTTAACTTTCTGAGCAATTTACACGGAGATGGGGTTTTGTATGGGAGTAGGGGATGAATGTAAATGGGGACATCTGTATGAATACTCAAATCCAAGCTGAAGAGAATCTCAAGTTTATTCTGGACTCAGCACTGCAGTAGGACCTAAGGATTAAATTTCGACCAGAGTATGAAATCTGTTGTTTTCCATTAGGAAGGAGAAGAAAATAAATATGTCTCAGTTCCTGATGTGTGCTAGGCACTTTACATATGTTAATTTATTTGATCCTGACTATAAATCTCTAAGGAGATATTTTATTCTCTTGACAAATGAAGAAACGTGAAGAGGACACGCAGTAGCTGTAGAGCCAAGGCCAGAAGTGTAACCTATAGTCTGAAGCCACTGTTCCATGTGGTCTTGTCAAACCACATCTCTGCTATCTTCTTTCTCCACATTTAATTTAATTCATTTTGTTCCTCGTACTGCGCAAGTGGTGTGGCACATACAAAAGAATAAGATGAACTCTCTCGGAGAGGTTACTAATTTGAGAGAAATTAGAGCCACAGAAGTGAAGTAATTAGAGTGTATTTTGTATATAACCAATATGTGAGAAGATGTTGAGTTAATGAGTAAGTAAAATTCAACTGAGTGCAAATAGATGGATGTTAAATGAGGTCCTACTAGGGACTCCATCCTAGAACAGGTAGAAAAGGTTTCATGGGAGAGGTGGCACTGGACACTGATAGACAAAGTGGACAAAATGAGCAAGGAGGTGTGGGCTCACTGGTTTGGGTTAAGAAATTTAATCCTCTGCAGAAATGAAGCATCTTCCAAGAATTTCTATAATCCAGCACTGGACACACAGTAAGAACAAATAAATACTAGTTAGATGGTTTACTCATGCAGTCCTTGAAAGTATATATACACCTGCAGGTCTTTTAAACTTAAATAAGAACCCGAAGAAGAAAGGGCACCTCCACTATGACTTTCTCACTTATTCAGATGATTTTGCAACTGTGTTGGACTGTATAGTTTACAGAGCACCTTCAAATTTGTCAAGACTGAATGAGGAAATATATAGCATAGTGCCACTTTAATTATTAGCAGCTACTTCACTAAGTCTTTGTAATTTCTTTTATTTCTTTTTTTTTTTTTTGCCCTTCTTGTAAATCATTTGCCGCTGTTTTGAAGCATTTTTGGCTTAACTACTTTTTAAAAAATTGTTTGTGAGGTGTAATTTACATAGAATAAAGTACACCCACCAGCAAGGTGTCAGAGTTCCTGTTGCCCCATACCCTTACCAATCCTTGTCTTCTTTATTTTAGCCATTCTAGAGGTTTTGCAGTTGTATCTCCTTGTGGTTTTAATTTGCTTTTCCCTGATGATCAGTGATATTAAGCATCTTTTCATGTGCTTCTTTGCCATTTGTATGTGTTTTGTGACGTGACTGCCTAAATCTGCCTATTTTTAATTGATTGTCTTATTATTGAGTTGTAAGAGTTCTTCATATATTCTGGTCCTTCATCAGATATATGTCATGAATATTTCCCCCTAGTCTTTGTCTTCTCTTTTCGTTTTCTTAATGGTATTTTCTAAACAACATAAACTTCATTTTGATGAAGTCCAGTTTAATCAATTTTTCTCTTATTGTTTGTGTTTTTTTCTGTCCTATCTAAGAAATCTTTACTTACTCCAAGGTTGCAAAGACTTTCTCTTGTGTTTTATCCTAGTTTTATAGGTTTAGTTCTTATATTTAAATCTGTGATCCATTTCAAGTTAATTTTTATGTTTCTTGTGAGATAAGGGTTGAGGTTCATTTTTGTCTGAGGATATCCAGTTGTTTCAGCAACATTTGTAGAAGATTATCCTTTCCCCCATCAAATTGCCGTGGCACCTTTAAAAAAAATCTGTTTTGAAAAAAAAATCTATGTGTGGGCCTACGTCTGGACTCTCCATTGATCTCTATGCCTATTGTTCCACTGATACCAGACAGTCTTGATTACTTAGCTTTATAGTAAATCTTAAAATAAGTCAGTATAAATCCTCCAGCTGTGTTCGTCTTTTTCTAAATTGTTTTGACTCATCTAGGTTCTTTGTATTCTCGTAAAAATTACAGAATCAGCTTGTCAATTTCCGTTTTAAAAAAGCCTGTTAAAAGTTTGATAGGCATTGCATTGAATTCTATATATCAATTTGGGGAGAATTCACATCTTAGCTATATCTAGTTCCCCAATATTGAGTATAGCATATTACTGCATTTATTTAGGTCTTTAATTTTTCTCAGCAATGGTTTCTAGATTTAAGTGTAGAAGTACTGCAAAAACTTAGTTAAATTTATCCCAATGTATTTCATGTTTTTAGATATACTTCTAAATTGAATTTATAAAATTTAATTAACTAATTCTTTATTGTGATATGTATAAGTACAGATGATATTTTTTACCTTATATATGGCCTTGCTAAATTCATTTATTAATTTGTAGATTTCTTAGGATTTTCTAGGCTTACAGCTTTCTTTTCTGCAAAGTCAGACTTACTCCTTCCTTTCCAACCTCTATGCCCTTCATTTATTTTTATTGTGTGTATTAGTAGTTCCTTTTATTGTTGAGTATTATTCTATTGTATGGATATACCCCAGTTTTCTTTCATCCATTTGCTTATCAATGGATAATTGGGTCATTTTCAGCTTTGAGGTATTACAAATAAAGCTACTATGAACATTTGTTTACAGTTCTTAGTGTGGACATGGGCTTTAGTTTCTCTTTGGTCAATACTAGGAGTAGAATGGCTAGCTCATGGTACAGGTGTATATATACTTTTGTAAGAAAACACCAAACTACTTTCCAAAGTAGTTGTACTATTTTATATTCCCACTGGCAGAAAGCCCCATGAATTTCTTCACTGGTGTGTGTTTCCTGCCTGCCAAGTAAACTCAGCTCTCATTTTGTTGCTTGCTATAATGGTCATTTTCTTCCTTTTAACACAACCCATCTTTAAATATCTCTCATGCTCCAGCCACATGGTCCCCTCTAAGGGGCTGAAACACAGAGCTACTTCCAGCCTATGACCTTCATACAAGTTGCTCCCTCTCCCTTGAACACTCGTCCTTCGGCTGTTCACACATTGTCACTTTCTTGTTGTTCAGGTCTCAGGTTGTATATCACTGCCTCTGAGAGACCTTTCCTAACTGCTCTATCTAGTCAGCCTCCCATCCACACCATTCATCTCTGTTGGTTCTTTTCTTTGTAACACTACTTGTAATTACATTATTATTTGTTTATTGACTTGGTTATATCTGCTTCTCTCGGTAAATAGTGAATTTCACGAGAGCAGCCTGATCTACCATATATTTATAAATACCTAGATTAGAACATAGTAAATGTCCAGTGAATAAGTGAGCTTCTCCCTCTGGGAGGACCTGGGAGTCCTTGCCATATCCACAGCCCCGGTTCTACATGTGATTGACAGGCTTTGTGCCACCTGCCACCCTTGGTGACTCACAATGCACATTCCTATGTTGAAGGCTCTGAAAGTCCTTGCAGGAAAAAACAAATCTGTTGAACTCAATATTTCTCGAAAGTATTCGATCACTGAACCCTTTCTTTGTGGCTTGTTTTGACCTCCTATACAAAGTGTTCTATAGAATCCTTATTTGGAAAATGCTAGTTAAATTCTAGCTAGATTCCCAACTCAGTTCAGCAGCCTGAGTACATGGAATAATGGTCATCACAACTGACTTAAAAAGATACCCTCAGAAGTTAGCTCTGGAAAAATGCCACTTAATCTGCCTTATCTCTGAGGCTTTCTAGTTTTCATTGGGAAGACAGTTTAAACAACATGGAACTCTCTCACTATTCCCAATCCAAGTACTTTTCTTCCCTTTAGAATAATTAGTGGCATATGATTTTATTAAGACTTGAAACTGCACACATCACAAATAAGATTCAGTAATGATTAATGTTGATGCATACATGATATTTTGATATGGCCTAAAGAAAATGATTAAACTTTCAGCTTTAAAAATAATTCAGGTAATTTGTGCAGTGGACTTTCGCACTCCATTTGTCTCCAATTTTATTCCTGAATTAATAGTTAAACTTTGTGTACTTTTATTGTTGACGATTATAATAACCAAGGAAATGGTACTAAATACTGTCCTTGCTGTTCCTACTGCTTTTATCTTCCTTCTCCATTTCTTCCCTTCTCCTCCTCTTTCAGAAGGATGGAGTGAAGAACATAGTGAAGAATGGTCCTACAGACTTGTTCAACAAAAATAAGTGCTCGTATATTGATGCAGCTCAACTGTTACATATTTTTATGCCTCCCTCAAAATGGACTCATCAAATCAGCTGATTAAATGTCTCCCCTTGAGTAGAAAAAGATTTTTCAATATAAGCAAAAAGTTGGTAAATAAGAGCTAACTAGGATTATAATAAATTGTGAAATTTCCTTTAACTCTTCTGTGCTTTGAACAGCAGCTTCAAATTTTCCCAGTCCATGTATGTTTAGCACATAAAGGGCTACTAGAGTTGGCTGCTTCTCCTTGTGGGAGCACACTTCCTTTTAAGTCTTTGAGTCTAGTTATAGCAGCTACTCAAAAATCCTTATCTGCTAATTTCATCTGGGTTATCTCAGGGTTGGTCTTCCTTCATTGCCTTTGTCTCTTGAACATAGGTCACATTTTCTTGTTTCTTTATATGTGAAGTAATTTTTTAATTGTATCCTTGACGTTATGAACAGACATTGTAGAGACTCTTGATTTTTTTTTTTTTCAGGAAGAACCAAAGTCTAAAACATCAGTTCAGTGCTTTAGCCTTAGTTGGTTTGCTTGGAGTTGGCCTGGCACATGAGTGGTTCAGGGGTCAGCTAGAAACTTGAGCAGAGTTTATAAGCAGATTTGGGGGCTCCTCTTCTCTGACTCTGTTCTCTCAGGAATTTCTCCTCTCCCTTTCCAGGTGCTGTGGTTGCCCTGAGCTTGGCTCCCTGGTTCTTCAAGCAATGAGGTTATAGGTTTCTGTGATCTGCAGATTGTGGACTTGTCTGCCCTCAGGCTAAACATTGTAAAACAAAGTAAAACAAAAAATAGGATGCTCACCCAGTGCCCTTCCCTTCTTCCAGTTTTCAAACCCACTCCAGCATCTGCCTGCTTTTCCTTATTCGTCAGTGTTTTCAGGTAGTGGGCTTTTAGTACTCTGTTGAGTTTATAGTTACTGTTTGCAGGAGGATTGATTCAATAAGCGTGCCTCAGGTATTGCTGAAAGTGGACCTGGTCCTCGTGGGAGATGTCCAGTTCCTACAACAATTCAGAGAGGACCTGAGAAGAGACATAATTGTAGGCTTTCTTAACAGATCATAGGATAACTTGTGATAACTCATGTACACGTGTGTCTCTAAGATGGCTCTTCCTGTTATTTTTTTTGAAGACTGCCTTACATTTAAACAAGTTAATTTCCTCTCAGCCATTTGCCAGGACTTTCTGCCTACTTGCAGAAGAATGCCCACAGAATCCTCCCATAGGCTAGGACTAGGTGGGGAGAGCCAGCCTTCCAGAGCAGCTGTCCTTTAAAGATGTGTTCCCAGAGGTAAACATAGACCCAAGACCTGCCTCTCCCATGTGTAGGCTGGACTCTCTAGAGGCTGCCCCACTCCCCAGGAAGCCTGCCTCTCAGGGCACATTTCTGCTGTGTGGTAACTGGTTCAGCCAGCATCCAAAGTCACTCCCAATGGCAGGAATTCAAAACAGTTCTCCTGCTCAAGGTATGTTACCAGGCATCACAGACACCAGAGAGGGACAGTAAAGGAAAAGGCTAATAGAGCCAATAGAGACACTCTATATAGGGAACACATGTTCTTGAAACCCTGTACGCAACTTGGCTACTGGTTTTATGTACATACCGTTAGACTGGAAAGAACCTTACTGACATCTCTCCACCCACACTGAACAATATAACACTTCCCTTCTCCCAACCTTCTCCTCTGCTTCTGCTACAGAATTACTTGGTTTTTCCAAAGGTCAAGCCTCAGCAAGTACACTAAGGGATGTCATCCCCATTCCCAACATGTAACCCCCAATCCTTCCACCTCTACCACAAGGAAAGGCCAATCATGATTTACCCTTTGAAGCACATGGCACTCAAAGGAGGCTGAATATAATGGGGGCTCTATTAGAAAAGAAGAAGGGGGAAGAATTGTTGAGCAGATAGTCAACAGCACCAACTTCACCTGGATATTCTTTTTTAAACCTAGCTAGATATTAATATGTTTTAAAGTCTTTGTTAAAAAGAACACCATGAATTTCATTATCCACTTGTTCTCAAACCTGGCTGCACACAGCAATCATGTAAGGGAGCTCTTTAGAAAATGCTGATGCCGGGGTCCCTCCTGCATTCTGTGTTAACTGGTCTGGGGCACCGTCTGGGCACAAGGATTTTTAAAAACTCTTCAGTTATCTAAAAAGAGGAAAATTTAAGAAACATCATCATAGTCCACATTCCACATGGAAAACAGAACTAGAAATGTAGTTGCAGTTAAAATCTAGTGTCAGTAACTATAGATCGTTGATAACTGGTGTATGCGCTGTAATTTGTATGGCCTGTCATCTGTGCACACAAGGTTAAAACTCAATTTTAGCATTTCGAATAATCATGTGAGCCCTCCCCCCCCAACCTCGACAGCACTAATTCATGGAAAAATCCCTGTCTAGACCTCCCCCTCATTCTGACCTTGGGATTGTCCAAGAAAACCCCTGCAGCTTACTCAGTTCAAAGGCCAGTTCTGATTTAAGCATTTCACAAAGAAAGAGATGTGGAATTTGTTCCCTCCTCCAGCAGGTCCTCTACCTTTTCCTGCCATTATTTCTGTTACCGCTGCATGACACCCCTTATTTAAGGTAGGTGTTCAGGCACTGCCTGCAGCTACAGGGATGCCTCTGCTGGAAGCAACCAGCAATAGCTTTTCAGCTATTATAAAAATAATGAAGTTACACTTCACCAGGCACCCACTACGTCTACCTACTCTTCCAAATCTCTAACTGAAAGAAAACATGAAAGGTTTATTTTTGTTTGTTTTTATAGTTTTGTTTTGTTAGCTGGTTAGATGGAACTTGCACCAGAAATGCTTCCTTTTAAAAGCAGCTACTGATTTATTTCCCTGCCTGGGACTTGTGTCCCATCTCAATTATCCAAACATAAGGTGAGCAGGCACTTAGTACCCTGGAAGGTAAAATGGCATTTGTAGCCTTAAAAAAAAAAGATTTCTGCCCATTCTGCCTTTGTTAAAAGAAAAAAAATTGTAGAAAGGGAGATGAAGACTTTCTGGAAAGACAGATGTAACAAGGGCCATCTCAGGAAAACCCACAGGGAAGGAAGAGGGTCTGGCTGGTGACCTGGGCTGAGTACCAGGCCTGGACGTCCCTGTAAGGAGAGCTGGTACAGCTCAGCATGTGGTTGAAGCTAGAAGCCATCCCCAACTTCCCAGGTATAAGGGGCTCAACGAAAATGCTTATCTCAGGAGCCCCAGCAGGGGGCCCCACTCGGCCTGTTGCCAATCCTGGATGTCCCAGTGAGAGAGACAACCCAGTCCCCAGCACAGACCGCTGGATTACCTAGATTGGCAGCCCCTAGTCACACATGGATTTTGAGCTCTTGAAATGTGGCTGGTCTGAATAAAGATACGTGCTGCAAGTGGAAAATGCATACTGGATTTTGAAAACAATATAAAAAAAGTTTGTAAAATAGCTCAATAATTTTTATGTTGACTGCATGTACAAATGATAACTTTTTTGCATATATTAAGTTAAAAATACATTATTGAAAATAATTTCATCCTAATGTGGCCACTAAAAATTGTTCAGTGGCATACGTGGCCCATATTTATGGCTTGCGTTGTATTTCTGTTGGATAGTGCTGGTCTGGATGATCTTGTTCTCAAGGCTGGAGCCATTCAGAAGCAGGGATTATCACTTAGGGCATGTCAGTGTTCAGGTGGCAGAAACCTCAGGTCAAGTGGTATAAATAATAATGAGAAAACTGTCCAGGGCTGGAAAGCACTGGGGTGGTTAACATGCTCAATGGCATCATTAGGACCTGGTACTTCCCATTTTTCCAGTCTATTCTCTGCTCTCATCTGGCTCAGCTCAAGGGGAGTATGTATCTGTGGAAGTCCCTTAAGTCACATCCAGACATTTTTAATGTCCAAAGGAAATAAGGTTGGGGGGTTGACAATCTTATCTCTCTTATCAGGAGTGAGGAAATCTTCCCCACATGTGCCCCTTCTTCTTGCCTCTCCCTTGCTCTCATGTCTAATTGGCCAGAATTGGGTCACATAGCCCATGCTGAGTCACTCACTAGCTAAGTAATCAGACACTGCATGGCTTTGGAGTAATCTGGAATGAGACATTTGTTAGAAAGAAAACCAGGACCATGGCAGGAAGAAGGGCTATTTTGGACCAAACAACCCGTGACATCCTTTGACAATTCAGGGAGAGGACATATTTCTGGCTAAGGGTCATTACACATTCTGCTATCCCAGGTGAGCAGATTTATCTGAAACACAATGGAGCTGTTATTTGATTTGTATCTCCAGGCTACAGAAGCTTACTAAGTATATTTACATAAATAGACAAACAAAGCAGATAAAATCCCTTAGCTCAGTGTGCTGAAATGGAGAGAGCACTATATCCTGATCAAGAGACATGACTTTAATAACACCTTGCTATGGCATCTGTGAAGGTGGGCTTTGGGTTGTTAACCTTCCAAATTAATGTCCAAAGATTTTGAGTCAAGATAGCAAAGTAATCACATGAATATTTCTCCCTACTGTAATACAAACACATAGGAATGGTGATATAAATGAAATATAAAACATTAAAAAATACACATCATACCAAAGGATTCAGGACCCAACATGGCCGGAAGGAGAGGGAGCAGAAGGTAATTTCCACATAGCACCAAACAATTCTCAGGGCACCAGCTTAGTGTCCTACAACTCAACTCAGTTCTGACACTATTTACCTGAAGATGGTGCCAGATCTCACAGATTAGGGTCTCAGTCCCGTAAGACTGCCCTGTCCCACTTGCGTCAGATGCCAACTGCAATTCCAGGTTGTCACCTGTGCTTCTGACCAAATTGCTATGGATCAGAGGTGCCCATGACCCCCTCCTCAGGTTCAATTAATCTGTTAGAGTGAATCACAGAACTCAGGGGAAACCAGTTTACTTACTAGATTACCAGTTTATTATAAAAGAATCTAACTAAGGAACAGCCAGATGGAAGAGACACAAAGGGCAAGGTATGGGGAAAGGGCGAGGCACTTCCCAGAGTCTCCATATGTTCCCCAACCCAGAAGCTCTCTGAACCCCGGCCTTCTGGGGTTTTATGGAGGCTTTATTACCTAGGTATGAGTATTTAAATAATTGGTCATTGGCTATTGATTTAACCTCCAGCATTTCTCCTCCCCAGGGGTGGGGGTGGACTAGGGACTGGGACTGGAAGTTACAGCCCTCTAATCACGTGTTTGGCTTCACTGGCAACCAGCCCCCAACCTTAGGTGTCCGCCAAAAGTCATCTCATTAACATAACAAAAGATACCTTTTCATTCATACCACTTCAGAAGTTCCAAGCGTTTTAGGAACTGTGTTAGAAACACTGGAGGAAGACCAAACACATATTTCTTATTATAAATTACAAAATTACTCATACTCAGAAACTAAAGGAAAAATCTCTTTTAAAAATTAAAAATAGCAAATGTTTGGAAAGTTGACATCATGGGGCATGTGGAAAGTAGGTTCTGCCCAAGTTCCTTTGGAAATGCAGCCAAGTGAACTCGATGCATCATGGTGGACCAGGTTCCCTGAGTGAAGCAGGGTGGTGGGATAGCACCTTCACAAGGGAACTGGGACTGAAATAACTGCTTGACCACCAGCGATGGTAGACAAGTTCCACTTGCCTACAGGGGCACAGACTGAAACTGGAGTCTCTGACATCAGAGCTACTATATCACAGCGCTCAACCCTTCTGGTTGAAAGACCTGTGGCTGTTCAGTTCCCAGGTAGCCCTAGGATTCATGTCATTCTCAAGGTCAGCCCCAGGGATCTCCTGCGATCTCCAGATTTCTTTGTGGAGTACCCACTCCCCACTCCCACCTTACCATTTGAGCATACGTCTCCAAAATGTCTGTTAATATGACAAGCAGTCATATTAGCTCATTATAAAACATACACAAAAGAAATTTTTAAAGGATGGGAAAAAACCATAAAAAAAAACATACTTTGTTTCCTGCTAATTACAATGGCCCTATTTGATCATGAGTGGAGATTATCTGATATTAGTTGAGGTTTTCATTAATGATTAGGGTATAAATCTGTATTTCAAAAAGCTTTCTTAATAGTGTTTAGTATTTTCAGCAGGCTTCTTTGCAGATCTGATTAGATTATATTGTTTTTACTTTGTAATATGATTGAAGGAGTAGGGGAAATGTCAGCTCTGCCATTTTCTTGCTCTTTGCTTAAGCTTGCCCTATTAATATTCTATTCCATTTGTAATTTTTTGGCAGCAATGTTTTTAAACCAATTGTTCAAATTGTTAGTTGGCAACACACAGGTTGTATTATGTTACAATACCCTGAAAGGCAATGAAGGAATTTTGGTATACAGATCAACCACTTCCCATTGTGGAATTCACAGTTTTCCCTCAGGATAACTCCAGCTCTGTTTGTGACCTGTGACCTTCTTACATATGGACCAAGTGAGGGCACCAGTGTCATTAGGTATATCAAATGTTGATAAATATAAATTTCTTATGAGGAAGGATGAATATAAATCTTTTTGGAAGTTATGCCCAGCCTTCTTTAAAGACCAATGAGTTGCATTTTTCATTTGCTCTTTCAAGTTGGAGATTCTGATGAGAGTATGAAAAATCATTTGAAGGGGTATTTATGCAACCTTTAACTAAGGCCTGTCCACCTCTAACATATCATTTTCATATGCCACCTCAGATACCTTCTTGCCCAGTAGCTGACAGAGGCTTAACAGAATTCAGTTTTATCTCAGCAGAGGGCGTCCCTTCCTTCTAGGAATGTAGCAAGCTCTTAAGCAGCAAGAGGTTGGGACCTATGAAAAGAGGTCATAAGAGCAGTCTCTATGTCTACAAAGGCTAAATGAAGCTCACTCATTATCCTTTATTCATTTCCTGGGGGAATTGAAGTCCAGAGAGCTGCTCAGAATCCATGGTTAGCTGATGGCTAAACCAGCACCTGAATTCAGGCCTTGCACCCTCTGTCCAGTGCACTCTAATATTCTTGCAGCCCTCGGATGTGCACTTGTTAAGCAATAGTTAACTCTAGCCCATTTTTATTTAATGAAATTATTGATATATTTGAATTTTAATCTGTCATCTTATTTTATGATTTCATTATATCCAACCTCTTCTGTAATTCTTTGTCTTTTGTTTTCTGACTAATTTTGGATTGACTAGGATTTGTTTATAATTATTTTTTCTCCTTTAATATTTTGAAAGATTTACACTAGTTTTCTCCTCTTTTAGGGTTAGCTTAGAAACTATTTTTTTAATATTTATTATTTTATTTTTAACCTTGCATTGTTAACTTATCTAAATCTGGCATAAACACTGATCTTTATCATTGGCCTATAAAATTCAGAAATATAACACTTTAACACCACTTACCCCCATCCCAACTCATTCGCTATTGTTGTCAAAATTTTAAATTCTATATAATTTTTAAATTCCATAGATACTTTTTTTTGCCCTTTATTTTTTCCTATATCCCAAACTTTCCATCTGGATCATTTTACTTTATTCTGGCATACATCTTTTAGAATTTCCCAAACTCTCTCATTTAAAAAAGTCTTCATTCATCTTTATTATTGAGATTGCCCTCTCTCTCTCTCTCTCTCTCTCTCTCTCTCTCTCTCTCTCTCATATATATATATATATATATATATATATATACACACATACTGGAAATAGAATTCTAAGCAGACAGTTGTTTTCTTTTAGCATGTTGATGATACCATTTTACTGTCTTGTGACTTCCATTATTGATTTTTAGAAGTCAGCTGTCAATTTAACTATACATCTTTGAAGGTACTATGTCACTATGTCCTTTTCCCTATGGCTGCTTTTAATATATGGTATATATACAGTTCAGTTTCTTTGGTTTCCTATGATTTTATTATGATGTGTCTGGGAGTGCTGAGTAGATACACTGTGTAGGAACAATTAGGCTTTTTGACTCTATGGATTGATGTTTTCCATCAGTTCTGTATATGCTCCGCTGTTATATCTTTAAAAATTATTACCTTTGGCTCTCTCTTTTCCTCAAATGTAGAATCTTCTTCAAACAAGAGTCCCCTCTCTCTCTCTCTCTTCTTTTTTTCCCTCAAATATAACAAGGTGGTTTAATAGTTTGTGGCTAATAATTTCAACAGACATTAACTCCAGTGCTTATGAGCCTATTTTAATTGTCTGTTGTTTTTACTGGTTCTTGCTCAGTGTATTTTGTTTCCTTGGATGATGTGATTTTTGACAGTGTGTTGGACATTGTATTTTAAAAATTATTTGTCAGATTAATTTGAGGCTTAGCATTATAACATCTTCTTCCAAAGAGGATTTTCATTTGCCTCTGCCAGATCCCTGAGGTCCTACCAGTCTACCAAGTTCAAGGCTTGAGGTTCCATAGGCCCCTCAGATAACACAAAGCCAGAAGGAAGTTTTTGCAGGAATTAGTTTAGTCATGATTCACTTTATCTGAAGCTGCAATTCTTTGGGATCTCAGTTTAAAGTGGAGATAATTTACTACCCCACCTCTCGTAGGTTGCATGTCTTTTGTCTTTTGCCCCCTGACCTCAGGTATTTGTCAAAAATACAGCTCAGTTTTACAGCTGTTTCTTTAGAATTGGCAAATGCTCTTAAGGAAAAAATCAAGTTTGAATATCAGTCTTGTTCTTTGGGTTCTTTTACTGTAGATTTTGGCTTTTAGGCTTCTCACTACTTTGTTACCATTTTGATGCATTTAAAAAAATGTTTTTTATATTTTATCCAGTTTTTTAGGTTTTCTTAGTGGGATGGCTGATCAAAATTTCCTAATCATCATTTATAGGGAGTAAAAGTTACAATTTATCAATTCATCAGAGGAAAGAAAAATTTTCATAGTCTTCTGTTTATACTTCATGCTTATCAATTTGTTAGTCCCTATAAATCTCTTTACATATGCCAAGGATCTAATATATCCTGTAGAACCAAAATTACTACATAGCACTCATCAAATCCTTTCAAAGAACCCAATCTGGTATGATATGAAATAGTTCACAAGATAATCTGAAGTCATGACTACTTCTGGCCTATGAAATTCAGTACTGTAAACTTGTGTTCCACCAACTCATAAAAATATCATGGAAAATCCAGTGATCTGTGTATAACATACATATAAAATATCATATACTTATTAAGGGCACTTGCTCTTCCTTTGCCTCTTTCGGATGCTTCCTCTATCCTCACCTTCTTAGTAAGGCCTTTCCTAAACATCCTATTTGAAGTTGCCATTTCCCCTCATTCCCACACTTCTTAATCTCCTCCTGTCCTTTTCTTCGCTCCATCACTCTCCACCATCTTGCATACTGTCTATTATAGATCCTGGCTCTATATATCATGACCTCTCCAATCTTGGTAAATCTACTTAATCTCTCAATTCTTTGATTTTTCTAAATATAAAATTGGACTAAGAAGAGTATCACACCTCTTCATACAGATGTTTCACAGATGAGTGTGGTGATAGAAAGTAATTCTAGAAAAACTATTTTTGAAAAGAACCAAATGAAAATTCTAGAACTGAAAATTGCAATATCAAAAAAAAAATACTGGTTGGGCTTAACAATAAAATAGAGAGACAGAAAAAAAAATCAGTGGACTTTTAAGTAGGTCAATAGAAATGATCCAATGTGAAGAACAGAGAGAAGAGATTGAAAAAAATGAGCAGATCTGCAGGGACTTATGGACAATATCAAAAGGTCTAATGTATGAGCAACTGGAGTCACTGAAGGAAAGGAAAACATGGTGAAGCAAAGAATATTTGAACAAAAAAGGATAGATTAAAAAAATATACAAAATTGGAGAAAGAGATGAATTTATAGTTTTATGGAAGGAGAGCAAGTCCCTCACAGAATAGATTTAAACACAAACACACGCACTTAGGCACATCCGAGTCAAACTGCTAAAAACCAAAGTTTAAGGAGAAAAATCTTTAAAGAACCCAAAGGATTTTGTTACAGACTCATTCCACACCAAGTAATGTACTACAGCTTAAGCTTGGTGCACTTAGAGTACTGGGGGGAAATTTTCAGTGGAGGAGAAATTGCTGCTTTTCTCTACAGCACATCCTTTACGTGAGAAGCTCACTGACAATGAATGCCAGGTGGGATGGAGGCTGGTGGCTGGAAGGGAGATTAGCAGCCCTTCACTTCCATTTCGGTTGGGCAGGATCTTCTGAATGGAGCACTATGCTGAGGGCTCTCTGGAAAACATAAAGACTTGACACAAATGACTCTAAAATCAGGGAAAGAGAAGTGAGATCCTCAATGGTGAACTTGAGAAAGTCTAGTGCTTCTTGGAGCCAGGGGAATTTTTGAAGTGGAATTGGGGGAAAGAAATTTGGGGGAAATGGGGAAGACCCAGAAGATTCTGATTATTTGACAGCATTTGCTCCCTTAACGTGATTTCTCTCCTTCTCTCACAATTTAGTTTAACTCTTCTCAAGGTGGGTAGGTTTCATGGACAAGTGTTTTGAAAAATATGAAGGCAGCTTCTTTCCCTTCCCTTTCACAAATAAATCACACAGTTCTGGAGATAACTGTAGGGAAATCAGTTTTCTGGGGCAGAATTTTGGCCCTGTTTTGGCAAATGTGACTTCTTTGGTTCATGAAGGATGATTTTAATGATCGAAACCAATAACGCTAAATGTAAACCCAATTACTGCTTTTTATAATTGTATTTTCCGTACTAGACAGGAAATAAAGTCATGGTGCTTTTGTGTGTTGATATAAGCCTCTTTTTCTCTTTTACTTCCCCTTTCTAGTCCTACCTGTCATCTCTCACCATTTTTATGTTTTAGGATCCCGGAGGGAAAGGAGGAGCAGGTGCAATCCAAGAAATTGCAGAAGGCTGGTGATGGAGGCAAAGCCCCAGTGTTGGTCCTGGGGCTGCATGCACATGGCGGGGAAGGTGCATCCCCGCAGCATGGTGGCGAGTCTTCCAGACCTGTCTGCAGCTCTTCCTGTAACCAAGAGGCCTTTTCCTGTGTTTGAACTTACCTCCAATGGCTGTCCTACCAAAGGTAAACAGCAGTGGTCTAAGCAAACTGCTCTTTTTCCAAAAGAAAGCTTTTAACTTTTCTTTTGGCGGGGATAGAAGGGGGTTGTTTGAGGACTGGGTGGAGGAAGAGAGGGGTGACGTGAGACCAGAGGAAACCCAAGTGACCCCAAGCCCTGCCCTGTGTGTTTTTTTTCTTTCTTTCCTTCTTTCTTTTTTTTTTTCTTTTCACCTCCCTCATTATTTTTGGCTGGCTCCTTTGTGCAGCCTGCCTTCTATTCACTGACAGCTGCTTTGAACATCAGTCAGACCAGGTCATCTGCCAAGCTGTGTGCCCCTGGTCACATCACTCTGAGGCCTCCGGTTTGTCAGCTTCAAAGTGCCTCACAAGTGGTGACTTGCCTCCTTCGGGGTGAACATTAAAGAAGGGGAAGCCTGGACAGACTCAGGATACCACTGGAATTAAGGCTGGAAGCTTCTATCTCATTTTGCACAGGAAGAAATCAGGACCAAAGAAGAGCGGTGAAAACTACTGCCAGGCCTTGTGGCCAGTAAGTGGAAGGATGGGGGCCAGGTCTGCTCATGGTTAATCCCTGGGGGTTTTTCCCGGTCCTGGCATTTAAAACTGCATTTGTCATGGAGTCAGCCTGCCTCAAGAGTGCCTCAGTGACAGTGACATTTGAGAGGGGATGGGGGTAGGAGAATGCTTAATGGATGGAACTCTACCCTCCTCCCCAGGGGAGTCTCTTCTCTTTGGTCTCATTCATTCATTCACTCACTCATTCATTCATTCAGCAAATGTCTATTGAGCCGTTTCCATGTGCCCAGTGACTCCCAGACACTGGAGACACAGTAAGGAACCAGCAAAGGCTGGATGCCTATGAAACTTACACTCTGTTGTCTCTATTAGTTCCTACATAAGATTACTTTTTGATCAAAGGGTTCTGTAACTATTTTTTTTCTTTTGAAGAAAATAAACTCTCTTAATATCTAGCTTTCAAATCATTGACTGGTACTCATCACACACTCACAACACTAAGTAGAGATTTTGCCACTACATAAAACAAATTAGCTGCTGATCTTCCAACTCCTGACAATGTAAAATCTATGAAGAAGAGACACCTGAAAAGAAAGTTTGCCTAGACAGTGTCACCTCCACTCACTGACTGTGGGAGAGAAATGAAGAAAAAAATCGATGATATAGATAGTAAGCTGAACTCTTATAGTCCTTTATAGCAATACCAGGGGTCACTAGTACATTCTCTTCTCAGGAATTCCATGTCGAATAGGATGAGCATGTGATCCTTTCAAACTGACCCTCTTTGTTTCGTGGTGGGTGGAGGTGGGTGTAGCAGTTAACAGCCTTGTTGAGTTTCAGGGTCAAACTGTGATCGTCACCAGCAAATATTCCCACATGGGAGTTTTGGTTTGAAAAGTTAAGGCCAAAAGTTGTAAACTAACAGCTTCCCCAGTGCTAATGTATTAATTATCTTTTAGGGTATAGCAAATTGCCCCAAAGTCTAGTAACTTAAAAAACAAATATTTATTATCTCACAGTCTCTATGGTCAGAAGTTCAGGAACAGCTTAGCTGGGTGGTTTGGCTCAGGAGCTCTTGTGAGGTTGCCATGGGAACATGGCAGGGGCTGCAGCCGTCTGAGGGCTTGACTGGGCTGGATGAGCCGTTGCCAAGATGGTGTACTCACAGGTCTGTCCCAGGAAGCCTCAGTCTCACTGCATGTGTCCCTTTCCACAGGTTACTTAAGTGTCCCCATGGCAAAGCAGCTGATCTCTCCCAGAGCAAGCTATCTGAGAGTGAGAGTAGAGAAAACCCTAATACCTTTTATGACCTGGTCTTCTAAGTCACTCTTCATCCCTTCTGCCTTATTCTATTTTTAGAAACAAATCACTAGGTCTAAGTGATTAGAAGATCTCAAGGGGTGGGGGAATTAGACTCCATCTTTCAAAGAGAAGAATATCAAAGAATTCATGGGCATATTTTAAAACCATCAAATTCAGGCTCCCTTCACATTTAAATTTTACTTTTTCTTGTAGAATCTTAAACAAATCACATTTCATTTGTGAATACTTCACTGTATATTTTAAAAGCAAACCACCATACCATTATCATACTCCTAGAGATGAACAATAATTCCATAATATGTTTTAAAAACAACCTGTTTTAATGCTAAAATTTTTTAAATCAAGAAATTCCACATAAAAGTTCAGATTTCTGGCCTATTTTTAAAAATAAGATGATTTGGTCACAGTAGGCCTATGTTCTCACATGGTCACAAATCACTTTAGATGGGACACGGACTCTTCGATTTGCCCTGACCCCCACCACACCCTATTGTGTTACACATGGGACACTGATTAAATGAGCCTGCCTGGTTCATTTAATATTTGAGTTTACCGCTGGTCTAGATCCAAGGAGGCTGAAAGGTGCACCAGTGGGATTGAAGAAGGGGAAAGCCTGACCCTGGTGTGAGTTGGATCCCAGAAGATTAGGAAAGGGACAGGTTGCAGTAACCTTGGGTCTCACCTACGTAGGGCTGTAGAGATGACAGAAGTAAGTGTAGAGAACTGGGCAACATTCGCTTGAAGATTGAGTGGACTTTCCTGTGATAGAACTTGGCACTGAGGGTGTAGAGACATGAGCAGAACCAGTCACTTCTGAGGGGACCATGAATCAGCTAACAGGGATTGAGGCTCAGTGCTATTTTCTTAGGGCTGTGAAAGTCCTGGGTCTGTTTCAACCTAAGGAAGGGTATGTGAGCCATGAAAACTAGTGGTATAGACCTGTTAACCAACTTTATCAAGGAAGGGGAACTCTAATCATATTTAATATAATGTATAAAAATAAAGTTATTTCTTGTCTCTTATGTGCCACTGACACACAGGACCTTAGGGTGCTTGGAAAGAGCCTGTAAGTAAAAGAAAAGGCCTTTACGACCACACTGGAGGAAGACAAAAAAACAAGCCTACTGAATAATGGAAGTGAGTACTGGAGGAGGATGCTTGCTCACCTCTGGCCTGACAGTAAACTCACAGGTGCTTTTTAATATAACTCCTGCCATTCCCCAACTTAAAAATACACATTTGCTTCTATCAGATATTTGGAGCTCAGAATGCATTGTTCTGTAGAAACCACATGTTCCTTGGTGGACTTAAGGTTCCTTAAGTCCACAGGTCAGTCCTTAAGATTTAGTCCTGTAACTAAACTGTAACACTATCAATCTGCCATGTGTAACAGACTTTCTTTAGAGAATTTCAGCCCAGGTTCTAACATGGAATACTCTGCTAGAGTACATTTTCCCCAACCCAAGTAGTTCAAACACTGGATTCTGTTCCATCCCTCAGACTCAGCCGTCCCGGGCCAGCTTTGAGAACGCCACCAGCTTTTCAGTAGCAGCACTTGGCGTGCGCTAGAGGAAGGGGAACTCCACTGAATGAAGGTTAAGAAAAGTAGATACTGGGATACACATGAGGATAGTGACAGCAAAATATAAGCAGACCAGGAGGCTGCAGGGGAGCAAAGGCAGGTGAGTACTCAGCTTTGGAAGCTCTGGAAATAGGCGGTGGGCGCATGGTAGAAGGTGTTTCTGTTCAGAAGTGTGACTCTTTCATAAGCCAGCTGTTTGTGTGCCAGGCACTGCCTGTATTCACTCCCCAGTAAATTCTTGTCACGTAACGTATCAGCGTGGCTCTCAAACCTTTCCATCTCATGGCCTCTCTAGGCACTGACACGTCCACCTGCATCTCCTGGTAGCCCTTCTTGTCACCATCAGATTTAGACTAGACTTTACAACTCTTTATCTGCTTCCACCCTTGCCCTTCCACAATCCATGCTTTGCGCAGTGACCAAAGTGCAGTGCCTTCTGAAATGCATGTCCGATCACGTCCCTCGCCTGTGGAAAATCTGTAATGATTTCCCATCTATTTTAGGATCAAGTTCAGAATCTGAACTCAGACTCACCAGTTGCCCCTTGCATGAGCTGCTGCCTCCCCGGCACAAGCCTGCGCCTCCTTCAGGTCTCAGTTTATATGTCATTTTCTTAGGAAGACCTACCCTGACCTTTTGTCCAGATTTAATTAGTACCTGATTAAAAGTTCTCCAGACTCCTAGATTTCCTCTTCAGAGCACTGACTGCAATTATGGTTGTTTAGATATCCAAGCATGATTTGTTTAATTGAAAGTGTCTCTCCTCTACCAGGAAATAAAATCCGTAAGTGCGTTATCCACATCTAGCATGGGTCCTTCTCGTCCATAACACATACTCACTAAATGGTTGCAGAATAAGCTTCTGTGTCATAAATGTTTACCTTGTATATTATAAAACCTGTTGTTCTCCAATTCTCGGAACCGGTTTTTATTTAGAGGGGAGGATAATTTTGCTTTGTGGTTCAAACAGGCTACTGTTTAAATCTTCTTAATTTTGTGATATTGGGGAGCATTGTAACATCTCCGTGCTTCAGTTTCCTCATCTATTAAAAAAGAAGAGGGGGTAAAGGACAATAATAGCACCTACTTTACAGGGCTTTTGTGATGATCAAGTTAAGTTGTGACATGGAGAAGGTTTAGAACAGTGCCTGGACATAGTAAGTACATGAAAGATTTTCGCTCCTGTTCTTCTTTACTCCTAAGACTATGAAAAATCAGTGTTATATTAGGTGTTGGTATCATCTCCACTTGTCAAATGAGGAAACAAATGCATGAAACAGATTTTCTTAAGTAAGTTGTTTGTATGAATCCTTCATATCGTCTTTTCATGCTGAACAACAAAACAAAACAAAACAGCTAGAAAGAAAGAAAGAAATGCATGTTCTCACATTTTGGGAGCTGTGACTTGGAGGAGGATGTTAGGGCTTGGCAAGACAAAGAATAAATCAAAGAAACAAAGGAAGTTTCAGAGCAGTTTCAGGACCAGGACTTGGCCATCTTATCTGCACATCAGCATAAGAAAATATAGCCTGTTCGTGAGAAGCCCCCATGAGGGAGGAGAAACCCAGTTTCCACAGCATCTGAAAGGGAGATGGTGAGCCAATGATTCGTGACTCAGAGCTGCAGGCACTAGCATCTCCAGGTTGCAGCAAGAAGTGAGAACCGTGGTCCCAAACTGACCCAGAGCTCCTCAGGAACTCTACCAGTATCTCCAAGTGCATCACTATGTTTTCAAACCAAATCCATTTGAATTTTAAAAAAAAAACCTATGCCATGCATCCCATGTAAGAGGACATGTGTGCCAAAGAAACCAAGCAAAAAATTCTGAATCACTGGAGTGGACAGCCTTCCTGGAGAGAGGTGAGTCCTGCACCAGGCTTTTGAAGAGATATCTGGCTGGGACAGGAATATTCCTGGCAACCCATTAGTAATGGCCCCAAACTAGAAACATCTCAAATGCCACCTCTGGTAGAGTGGATATATAAACTGTGGTACAGTCACAGAATGAAATACTCCCCAGCAATGACACGGATTGAGCCGTAACTAAACTCAACCATAGAGATGAATCTCAACAAATACAATACAAAACAAAGTATAATTTGATGTCATTTGTTATGTAAGCCAGGTAATCTACATCTATGGCAGGTGTGACAATTTAGGACCAGGTGACCCTTGAGGAGAGATAGAGCCTGGAGGGCCACAGGGGGTCTCCTGTTCTGTTTCTATTATTCAGATGCGTTCCTTTGTAAAAGTTTACTGGTATGTATGTACATTTTTCTGTGTGTGTACTGTTCTGAACATATGTTACATTTCAATCCATTTTTCACTACCCCACTCTCCATGGCCAGGGGTCAGATTAGTCCTGGGGTGAACAGATAGCCCTAGAGTTCTGGATAATCAGAGGGTGGACAAGTACCAATTAGGATGCTTCAGAAATGGGAAGCTATTTTGAGTAAAGCTCTTGTTTCTGCAGTACTGGCTCTGAGTCTTTGGTCACTGCTTTTGTCTTACTGAATTTTACCCTTGGTTTTTCTGCTTGTTCCCTGATCTTGCAGCCCTCTTTGTCTCTAGTCACATGATCTCTATGTCCAATGCAGTATAGGCCTTACCTGCTAAACCAGAGGCCTGGCCATAGTCCTCGTCACTTTTCCTCAGCTGTCTGCAGTAAAACATCCATCCCCTTCACTTGCCGTCAGAAGCTGAATAAATCATGAGATGGCTGGAAAGTAAGCTTCACCAGCGTGAGTGACCTGAGGAGACATCTCTCCTGTGAAACCTGATGGGAGGGGCTTAGGAATTTCAGCTTCTAGACACCCACTGTATAATTTTACAAGTATTAGAGGATCCTCTTCATCTGACTGGCAGAGCAGGGAAAGAGGGAGAAGCCTGCTCTATGAGTCTCACAGGAGGGTTACAAGGAGCTGTATGAATGGAACAGCTTGGCACAGGCAGGGCTGAGAATCCCTCTTGAAAACCGTGGCTGACTCACCTAAGACTGGTGCTGCCTCACAGGATTTTGAAAACATTAAAAATCACCTCCCAGCTTTTCCAGGGGGCTGTCGCCAGCTGCCAACTGGATGCAGCTCCATGACATCAAAGCCGTCTGGCTCAGTGGGCTCCTGTCCCCATGCAGGCTGTCTTAGGGCGGGTCAGCTGGCCTGGAGAAAACAACACGCTTCAACGTGACGGTCCCCACATTCTGCAGACTTGAAAGGGAAATCCTCTGGATTCTGACTGGGCTCCTGGGGCTCAGCCCTGGCCCTGCCCTGAGGCTGCAAGAGGAATGAAAATATGGAAAGGGCTGCATGTTGCTGTCATTGCTTCTCCAGGTGATCAGAGGCATTTTCATCCTGAAAGGATTTTGCAGCCTGAGCTTCTTTGCTCCTTCATGTTCCCTCATTACCTCTGCTGACTGGGGCCTCAGAAACCCAGCCCAGCCTTTCCCTGTCTCACCCTCACCTTCCTCCCACCTACTTCCACTTTTATTGTACATTTCAGCAGAGCGCTTCTTAAACCTCACACTTACACAGAGGTTTGCCCCCAGTATTGCTGCTGCTTTACAATCAATTCCTATTCCTCCCCCACTCCACTCTCTCATGCTCTTCTCTTGCTTTCTTTGATGTTCACTTTCATGTTCCTCCCAAATTCTACAAAGGCAGGACATAGAGGAAGGCCAGCAGAGGGCAAAGAGCACTAGAGCTGAATCAGGGGACAGATGAGCATTTTGGATTTTGTCACTGATGTATGTGACTTCGGGCAAAGGGTACAGACTCTTCTCTGTGTGTTCACGTGCTCACGTGTGCATGGGGTTGTGTCACCCGTGCTGGAAATCCAGTGCCATGTATTGTGCCAGCATTGGTGTCATGGGAATGCAGAGAATAAGACTCTGGCCTGGCTCTTACAAACCTACTGAATACCATTATGTGCTTTCTGATACACATGTACGTACACACACACACACACACATTCAGATAGGTTGATTGATAATGGGGGAAGAAAACTGGATAAATGAATGATTTATAGCCCATAAGATCCAATAAAATCTTACAGAGAGATTGAATCAGAGTCTTTGTGTCCCTGAAGTCACTTGAATTGCTTCTTGTGTTCAGGTGTAACTCTCCACCCCATTTTCTCATAACTGGGTAAAATAAGGAAGCACTTAAAGCTGGTTTTTCTTTTGCTGCCACAAAGATCTGCATAACTGCTGGTTCCTGTTTGTGGTGAAAAATGGTCTTAAGCAGATGAATGAAGGGCACAAGACACACGACACAAATCAGAGAATTTTAAACCATGCTATTCCTCCGTGCAGCAAACCCTAAGCAGAGCTCACACCTGCCCCCTGAACTCCTAAGACCCCTAATTTGGTAAAGGATATCCCCAATATTTTCTCTCTCCTTCTCTTCAGCCTTCCCATCACTTTTCAAAAACTGTGGCTGACTTACCTAAGACCTGTGCCACTTCACAGTATTTTGAGAACAAATTAGAAAGAGACCGTCAAGTTTTTCCAGAGATGATTAAATACAAGAAGTGTTAAGAATGTAAAGGCTAGGACACTGTAAATAACAGTTCTGAGATAACCCTGGCCAGCAGCAGTGTGGCAAGTTGCTTT